GATCTGCCTTTTCTCCTCTTCAACTTCGCTGGCTCATCAATTCCTCTTTCAACGTCACAGCAATTCTTGACTCATATCATGAAGCCTGTTTCTTGGACTGAGCGCTGCCAAGAGCCTTGTCCCCTTCACTCGATCTCCCACCCTCAATTCTACCGTTACTCTTATTGTTGTGGCTTTTTCCAATGGTCTTTGAATGTAAGTGGACAATTGCCTTGTACCTACAGCAAATCTTGCGTGAATATGCTGTGTTATATGCAGGGCATGTCATAAATCGCGTAGAGCCATTCAGGGCGACATGCAGGGAAAGAGCTATCTTGTGTGCCTCTATCGAGCTCGATAACTTACCAAGTAAGCCTCGGATCCGGCAAACTGTAGGCACATATTTCATTACACAGAACGAGCATGTGACCTGTTTCTAGATGTTTCAGTCCAAGTCTAGCCGTCCAGAGTATTAATAGTACATGAACAGGACTATATGATAGCTCTGGTATGAAGTCTCTTTGACCTCCACGTAGTAAATTTGACACAACAAGTCTTCCTCGCAAGCTATGTCGTCGTTGATGATTTGTCCTAACGAGCTCTTGGAAGCCATCGCCATCTACTTACCGCTCAACGGCCTGCTTGCCCTCCGTGCTACATGTCCACGTATAGAGGAAAGTATACGCAGTCTCATCAGACGCAAGCATTTCACCGTGCACGAAGTGGCTTTCTCAGAAGCAGGTCTCGTTCGTCTTCTACGCAGAACGCAGTGCCAACGGTTTCTCAAAGGAACGCAAGCGATGACCATCAGATTCCAACAGGCACCGCTTTTTTATCTGGACGAACTCAAGTCGTCCGTGTTGAAACGCCTCTATCAAGCTTTTCTCGCATCCCCCTGGCGCGAGAGCGGGCCGCTGCCGGCGATGGTCGTGCGCAGAGTCGAGCAATGGGAACTCTACACGGATTTCTTCAAAACACAACGACGCTTTCTTGAAGAGAATACCGATCTGCGCCTCCTGGAAGGCATCATGAGCAACATTTGTGACGGAGTCGCGACTGTAAATGTCGAGTACGAGGAGGCCACCGAGTTCGCCCCAATCATGTGCGGAGACGAGCTCTACGATCTCTTTGCTGCCATAAACGCAATCGACATGCCAAGGGTCTCGCAATCTACACGCCTGTGTGACATGGTCCAGAAGGCCGGCAACGCGGTGGGATTGGTACGGATAAATTAGTTAGGGACAGGTCTTCCTTACATGTATGGAATCGAACGGAGATGTAAGCCGTCTCGAGAGGGCGGTGAGCGGCTTCTATTCGCCGCAGTCATGGATTCTTGATGTTCGTGACGTTCCGGAATAGTGTACAGTGCATGACAGCAAGCATGCCCAGTGTTTTGAGACCCGTACAGTACAAGGGCCTGTTTGAGAGTTCCCTTGCAAGAAACGAGCCAGGTCGCTCATCCCACCCCTCCCCCTTAGGCGTCCCAGACGCTATCGAATAAAGTTTTGCGCACTTGCACTGGTTCCCATCCATCACACGTACCTCTCCGTTGTCATGAAATAACCACCTATCCTCTGACAAGATTTTTGTTTTTGGATAGTAGACTTCTTGTGAGCATGGGTGTTCCAGTGCTCAACGTTGCGTCTTGAATGGACCTTTACTCACCACGGTCTGGAGAATCGGTGGTCGTTTCCATCTCAAGGCATATCAGCGGCGCTTTGATCCTCCCTCAGGCCAATGCCTGCATGCGAAACAAAATCAGCAAAAGTCAGGAAGTCATAGCTGAGTCTCGACCGCGGTTAACAATGTGCATGAGTTAGGGACCATGCATACAAAGGCGTGCAAAACCCTAGCGATCAGTGTTTCTTGACCATGTCGCCTGTCACATCGGAGTTTGACGAAACAGACGTATGGCAAAGCCATGTGCTTGATCTTTGTGTTTTTCTTCTGAACAAACATGGAAGCTGAGTGACTATGCCCCTCACCTTACCTTGCCCTGCCTTGCTTTGCGCTACCTTGCCTCGCCCTGCATGAAGTCCAGCATTGCGCAAACTGCTTTGCCAAATATTCCTCAAAGAAGTACCTTTTTTCTATCTCCTGTTTGCTGATTGCCACTAAGATACCCATCCCAGTATTCTCTCTGATCCACCCATATGCCGTCTTAGATGTCTGCGTATCAATATCCGCTCTTGCGTCTTCGTTGCAAGCCCCTGTCTGCCGTCTCCGTTCTCATGTGTAAACTGCCTCGATACTGCCGTAGACCTTGTCATCGATTCTCTGGTCGAAGGTCAGACGTCCGTCAAAGGTCATGCCGAGCTTCCAATCCAAGCGATAGTATGTCTGGCCGTGTACCATTCGTCTTTTAAAGTGCTTTCTGGGGATTACATCCAGGTCCGTACTCAGTGTGCAGAGAACGCGCGTCTCATTGGTGGGCTCATATTCCTGGGGAGGCACCTCCGCATCACTGACAATGATTCGCGCGCTGCTTTCGGATCCAGATTCCTCGCCTGGCCAAAGGTCTTCCGTAAGACTGAGCAAGATAGGTTCGTCACTTGGCATGTCTTGCCCCCGCTCGATGTACCATAACATCTGGTTTCTCGCTCTGAGCTCTTTCGTGATACGGTCGATGAACTTGTTCTTGAGTGGATGGATCGAGGGATCCCATGATACGCTGCAGACCACTCCGTAGTGACGTCTCGCCTTTCTGCTGACCACAAGGTCTCTTTCGAGCCCTGCCAATACCGCGCCTCTGACCACCGCGGTCCAGGAACTTTCAGGCTGCATGATGATGAATCTGGGCCCTTCTTCCACGGCTGTTGCTGACTCTGATTATGACGAAGTGTATGCGGGCGGAGGGTCCTCGTCCGCAAAGCGAGATTTTAAGTATCGATACAAATAACCAGAAAATCCAAAGCCGCCAACCATTATCAGTCCCTTGGCAGTCTTGCCGTGAGTAGCCAGTACGTTGCGTTGCCTCTCGATCAGTTCAATCACCTTGTCGACAATCGGCCGGAAGATCTCAGAGACGTCGGCGTTGGTGAGAGTGATGAACGATCCCATAATGCCAGCCGCAAGATTGTCTTTCACGCCTGGAAATGGAACGTTGAACTGACCGTCGTCGAACTCGGTCTCGGAGTCCACAGGATCGAAGTTGCGCTTCACGTAGTCCTCGAAATGCTTGTGTGCGACAGCCCAAGCCCCTGGGTTCTTGTCGCAGAACGATTGAAAGTCGTCTGCTCCCATATGGCGTCTGACCAGATCCTGGAACTTGAGGTTGAGAAACACACTGCCGCAGAGAGCACCAAATCCCGGAGCGGACTCCCTCAGGCGCAGCGGAGAGACGGAAGCGACCTCGAATCTAAGAGAAACACTTTTGGAATATCTACAAGCAGGGGTAGTTTCGTGGGAGAAGGCTTACGAGGCCAGATCAACTGATGGAAAGGTACTAATCTCAGGGACGAGAAAGTGTGGTCTCAGAGTTTGAGACGTCGAGGCTGAAAAGTGCTTGCTAGTGCTTGAACACGAGGATGGGACAAGAGACCCTAGGAACCCACTTGGAGTTAGATGCAGCCCTCCAGCGTTTGAGATTTCGTTTAGCGATGGTGGGGGAAAAGTCGCCATCGCGTTCCCTGATGGCAGCGTGAGAATCTGGTGTGTTACATGGAGCTGATGGTTGGTTCCGAACAAAGAGGCATTGGCTCTTGAAATCATGATTCCATCCCTCAAAGTAACTATCAGTGCCCAACTCAGAGTGTTTGTCTCGTCTGTCGCTAATTCTAAGCCTACCTCGGCGCGGCTCTCGCTGGAACATGTCTCGGCCCTCACTGCTGAAGTTTGTCGAGGCCCCGGAAGCAAAGAGATTCCCAATGGCTAGACAGCATATTCGTCAGCAAGAACATACAGACAGGCATGGACAGAAAACATCGCTCTGGTCCTTTTTGCAGCTCCGTATCTTACATGGGCTGGAGTAGAACAATAGTATTGGATGATATTGGTACTAGTCGGTCCCCTATAACGGACTGATTCGGCCTCCTCTTCATGACATGCCGAGTATTGGCTAATGCAGCTGACCATCAGAGTAATCGCGTCAGTGATTGAGGGCTGAAGGTACAGAGTTCTGCCAGGTTCGGGTCTGGAGCCTTCCAGCCCAATAGTTTTTGTAGTTCAAGGAGCTACGTTCTTTCGTCCAATCCGTGTGTTGGTTGTTATCCGGCCGTGGATATCCAAGCGAACGTTGCAAATTCCGGCGCGGCTGCTCCTTCTGTCTACACTCGACCTCGCGGCATGAGACTTAAGCATTGCTCGTATGATCTGGGACACAGCATCACTTTTCCAGCTGAACACAATTTGATGTCAGGTTCCAGAGTCTCGTGCAACGGGGATGGTGACATTTCCAGGGTATCAGTGCCCTCAGCAGCGTCCGAGTCTTGATCTGCTTAGTACATAGGTGCAAAATAGTCATCTCAACGCCATTCTTCCATCTCCTCAATCAAAGCCAGAGCTGGTGAGTCATCTTCTACGCTGCCGACCTGGTACGTTATATGAAAGTCCTGTCCAGACTTTTTGATGTCCATTCCCAAAACTGATTCTTTCAAAACTTTCTCACTCAGCCGAGTAATTGCATCTTCCAGTCCGTAACACCATTTGAGCTCCATCAACGGCGCGACTTCTAGCCCTCGGGCGTTCTTGATCGTCACGGTTATTTTTGGCATGTCCTTTGTTTGGGTCAGCGAGTCTTCACTCGTTCAGCGCATCAGGTTATAGTACCCGGAGACCTTCGTCAATCATATCAACCAATTCACCTAACAGCTCTCTTCTAGGATCGTCGATATTCCCCATCGCCCTTGCGTAAATGTCCCGCTCAATGACGGTCATCTCACTATGTCCTCCACGGAGGATTCCGCGCAAGTCATCCTTGATCTCCTCTTCGATGGGTTTCAACCATTCGGCAAATCTTCCATTTATCATCGATTTGATTCGTAGCATCCCTACAGGTGTCTCGGGAGATTCGCCGTAGGTGTATCGTTCAAAGAGGGCTTGACCGAGCCAACCTCGTTTGAGGCAGTCGAGGTACCTTTGAACAGCAGCGGGGTTTTTGGCGCCTTGCTGCATTATCTCCTCTGCTGTACAGTTGAGAGGCTCGAGCAGGAGCATTTGTTCCGGGAAGTCCACGACGAGTATCAAATCAAAGTGATGTCTTTGGAGAGTTTGATGTCTATTGTACCTTGGGATTTTAAGGTTAAATAATGAGTCTACTCTGGAGGATCGGTTAGCGTGACTGTTGCCTGGTCTGCATGCGCGGGTCGACGCGTTCCGTCAAAGCTTGCAATTTGATTCCTCCAGAGTTTTATAGATCCTCGTACGCCAAGCTCGCGCGCTTAGTTCGGCACAGCCAAGCTCTAAGTCCAGGGTCACACCCTTAACAGATATCTAGACTTTTTGCTAGCGATAGTTCAAGGAAACGACAAGACTGTACATACTCCACAAAGGTCAATCTACCAATCAATTGAGTTATCAGCTAGGTCGACAAATTGGTCCGCCAAATTTTTTCAATCACGCGTTAATGCTATTCTCGTAGATATTTCCCAGTACGACAAGCTGGCCGATAAGTCTAGATGAAAGCGCTCGAATAGGAGACATACTGCAGATGTGTCAATGCTGTTGCCGCATATCATTTTCTATTCTTTTCTATGTAGGAACCCTCTCTTCTCAACACGAACGAACAGACATACTTCCTCGGAGCAATGTTCCATTCGTGGATAAGCGAACTAGATTTGAATTCAGTCGAGCACCTCGAACCATTGCTCAAAGACATCCCGTAACTAATATGTCCAGATACCTGATTGTCTAAGGACGAAGATGTGGTGGGGGTAACCGAGCGTGTGGAAGACGCGTTGTTACTTGTATGGAGGATGATTTGCAATTCTTCCGCATGTAATTATGTGGCATCAATGCCAAAGCGACTCGAGGCCGTTCATCAAGCAAGAGCGCGGTCCACACGATAATGGTCATTGTCCGATAGGTCTCAATGATCTTTAGATCTCTACGATCAATCTGGTACAATTCATATATGGTATTTTGTTGTTATATCCGGCGCATCCAAGTAAGCTGGAGCTGGAGGGATGGATGCGCGGAAAGCCGCCAAGTGGCTGGCTTGGCGAAACTTTTGTCTGTCCACTGTAGCTAGAATAGCAGGCCACAAGAAGTCGTGGTCGCCTGCCGCTTCAAGCTTCGCGATCAGCTACTTCTTATCCCCGAACGTCTGACTGAAGTTAGATCATGTGTTCAATCAGCTTGTGCCATTTCAGATCAATATATCGATCGTGGTTGAAAAGTGATGTAGGTCTTATCTCTGCAGTCGATCAAAAGCTGAACGCCGAGTGTTGAAGCGTCTCCACTCGAAGGATTCGAGCGGAGATCAACTTACGCCATCATGATTGACACCGCTGCCTGAACAGTCATCCACCAGCGCTACTTTTCTTCTAGGAGTAAGAGTCTAGATACGTGACCAGTTTCACCTGCAATGATGCTCGACGCCATTATACAACGGTACTGCAGAACCAAAGTCGCACAACATCGGCTCTCCTATAGCGCGAGGCATGTTGAGCTCGCGGGATCGATAGACCGTTCCTTCGGACAGCTGCTTTCTCGGACATGGATTCCTCAATTGCTCACATTCGAAATCTTGAAGAACAGAATCGTCGGCTCCCAGCAAGATCTTAGCTTCTTTGATGTCTGTATGTGCAATGCGGCATTCGTTGTGCAGCAGATCGAGAGCGTGAAACAGGCGTTTGAGAATAAAAGCCACCACAGAGGCGGGCAAGCGTTGAATAGGGTTACGATGCTTCAAGTCGAGTACACTTTCCCCAAAGCGCTGGATGTACAAGACAACGATGTGACCCTTTCGGGCCTTGGACTTCGAAAGAGTCCAGAAGTGTTCGGATAGCAGTGCAACCGGGATGGTGCTTGGGGGCATTTTCAATCCGCTTGTAGGTCCTGAGCTCAGTGTCCGAGTGTGATGTGATGGACTCGGACTGGGCGTAGAGTTTGATAGCGACATGCCCACGTTCACTGTTGGCAGTTAGCGACGTGCGCATCGGCCGACGTCGTTAAGAGAAATGGAACTGACCTCAGATCTCGGGCGAGCCAAACGGCAGAGGTACCTCCGAAACCGAGCTTTCCTACAATTTGATATCGGTCGCGGAGTATCTCTCCAATACGGACAGGATAAAAGTGAGACGCGTTGTAAGCGGGGAGTGTCTCCTCTTCAATCTTGGCGTCTGCGGAAATGGAGACAAAGCCCTCGTTCGGAAAGGTTAATGGTGTCCAAAGACGCCTGCCTGACAATGCCTTCTACATCTGTTAGATTGTGTCTATATTGCGTGCACGGACCCCGTGAACGTTTAGGGGGCCCGCTTTTCGTTCTTGCAAAATCATGCTACAGTTCGGTGGAAATCGCTACCCACGGCTCCTGCACTTTCCACCGTGCGTGGAGTCTCGCGGGCGGGCGGCCTTGCATTCACTCATCTGTCTGAGGAGATCGATGAATGTACCGGCAGATTGGTAAATACTCAATCAAAGCAAGAAGAGCCCTAGTCGCTCGTGAGCTGTTCCAGGTTTTCAGAACAATCAATCAATGCAACAATAATGACGCCGTGCCTGAACATGCAGGAGCCGTCCACGTTCCTTGGTACCGTCACTTACAGGTCAGCCTAGCTAGCTAGCCTCACGTATTTTATTCCCGACTCTTGCATCGATAATTCATTACCTCTTGTACAGACAAGCCATCACTCATACTGTTCGGTAGGCTCGTGCGGACAACACTGTGCAATGAGATGTCGATGTATCTGAAAAGGACAATTGTGCCTGTTCGCCGGATGCAGATCGGCTCTCGTTGCTGCGCGGGGTTGATTGCTCGTCTACACCACGTGTTCGCGCCGCACTGCGACTGCACACAATCGTGCCTGCAATGCACGATCCGGCCTCGACGGCTGGCCCACATAGATTAGCGGTCGGTGGTTGATGAGATAGAGCTTGG